ACCCCTCCTTGGGACCAGCAGTTGGAGAAATGGCTATGCAGCTGGACTCCCATGTAGTCGACCATGGTTCGAGTCCCAGACCTGGTGTCTTAAACGCACCCTATAGCAAAAACCTCTCAAAAAACAAAAATCCTCCTCATCTGAGGTTCTGCTCTCAGGGTAGCAGTTAGCTGCCATCGGCCACAGTCCAAACAGGTGAGCACAGGATGCCACGCTATGCCAGAGGCTGTGCGGAGTAACTCGGTGCTCTGGTCACACCTGTCCTGCCAGCAGGTGTGGTTATCGCCGTGTCGTTTATGAACCAAACCGTACCGGGGCTGGCACTCTCTGGGCCTAGCACTCACTGAGGGTCTCGGGGCATAACCCGACCCGAGGTGAGGTGTGACTGCCTCTCAACCCTTCCAGCGCTTACTCGCCATACGTGGCAGGCAGCCCTGCCGGACGGCGCAGCCCCTCGGAGGTAGCGAGCTCGGTGGCACCGTCTCTCCTCCGCCTGCCGTCCTGACAGGACACTAGCACGCCAGCTGCTTAACTGCAGCCACCTGGCCATGACCCCCTGTGGTCACAATGCCTACCCACACCCGTCCCTTCCTACACTCATAAAACAGACTCTAACCACGGCTGCTACACTGGGCCACGGGGAGCCAGCCCAGGTCCCCACCACTCCACCACCATCCGCCTCCCAACCAGGTGGAGGGGCACGGATTCTCCTCCCCACCAATGTCCACGTGCCAGAGGGAACGTGGCTGATGCCGCCCAGGAAAGGAAGTGCCAGCGCAGCAGGAAGGTCGGAGGACAGACCCTGTGCCAGAGGAGCCATCAAGAAGAGCTCTCGGTGCAGGGGCACATGGTCAGCAGGTGGGCGAGAGTGAGTCAGTGAGTGGCGGACGCAGCACAGCCGCCCTCTGCAGTGGGAGCAGAGCAGGACCAGAGGGTCTTCCACTGCAGACCCAGGCAAGAGTGCGGGGCCTGACTACAGCCGTGCGCGGAGTGGGGGGAGCGCCGCCTGCATGCCCCGGCTCCCACAGGCGGCCTCTGAGCTGACCGTGCACGCGCACTCAGCATCCCTCGGCCACCCCAGCAGGGCTGTCCGCAGCAGAGGAAGCTGTGGACTCCCCTCTGCAGCAGTGGGCAGACAGACGAGTGCCCACTGTGGGACTGGCGAGTGGAGCCTCAGGTCCCCACACAGGCTGTGCCGGGTCCCAGGTCCCGATACCGGAGCGCCCAGGAGCCTCCCAGATGCGGGGAGAGGCCTATGGGACAACAGCTGTGGTGGACCAAGTGCCACTGCCACTGAGAAAGAGCAGAGGGGCGAGGCAGGACAGCATGTCAGTTTCAGAAAGGAGGCCCAGCCCCACAGTCGCGGCAGGGAGCCAGATCCCACGTGGCCCCCGCCTGGTCTGAGTCCCAGCCCACAGCTGGAGGAGAGAAGACTGCAGCACGGCCACGCCCCACTGGGTACTTTCTTCCCCTCCTCTGTCCCTCCCTCTGGTGAACACAAGCCCTCTGACCAAAAAAATAACAGTAATAAATTAAAAATGCACACTATGAAGGAACAGACCCTAGAAAGGCCCAGCTGCTGTGGGGCAGCAGTAACACATGCCCCCCAAGGCTGGAGTCGCAGTGCCAACTACAGGGTAAGCCCCGGGTCTGCCCAAAAACATGCCGGGAACATGGCACACAGATGCAGGCACTCACGGTCCTGAGGAGCTGGAGGGCTCAGGAAGGGGGCCGCGGCGTGACGAGACCCCGCCGAGGATGCCTCTCCCTCCCTCTCCCTCGTGTGTGCACGTTCGCCTTCACTATTAAACACGGAAGAGTCAGCAGGTGGTGGCTGAGGCGCTGGGCTGCCCACACGTCTGACTGCAGTTCAAGTCCTGGACCTGGCAGCTTGCTTTTTCACTCTCCTCTCTGGTGAGCACACGTAAAAAAATAATAATTCTTAAATTTAAAAAAAAATAAAAATAAAAATAAATAAGACCTCAGAGAGTCGGTCCGAACTGCAGGCTGCGACCTGGTAGCAGCTCAGGTGATTCCAATTCTGCTCCCAGCACCCGCTAGCCCGCGTTCTCTTAAATGAGCAACACCATGTGTGGGAGCAACAGTGTTTAAACCCGCCTGCTGCCCAGGGGCCCGCAGCGGCGACCCCGACCACGGTGCTGCTCCCCAGGCCCCTCGCTCACATCTCTGGGTGCTTCGCGTGCCATCCCAGTGAGTCAGGTCTCTGCCGGCGACCCCGGGCCTGCACACAGCCCACGCCAGGTCTTCCATAGCAGACAGCCTCGAGGGCCCAGGACCCCTCTCCACCCTATCTGAACAGGCCTCGGCTGGGCAAAGGCCTTCCAGGCTGGGAAAAATACTGTGCTCATTCACCTCTAGGGTTTCAAAATGTGCAAAGCGAGTTAGCCGCATGGCACTGGGCAGGCCTGCACACCGTCCTCCTCTTGGCTTCAACAGCGAGAAAGTTGGCCGAGACGCCTCGAGCTCTCACCGACAAAGAAGCCTCCGGCTATCCCTTCACCGGCTATGCCTTCACCGGGGCGGCCTGGGAGACGTGCTCGGCCCAGCCCCACCCCACCCCACCGTCCATCCTGCTCCCTGGGCTGGCAGGCCTGCGTCACCCTCAGAGCTCAGCCCTGTGGGCTGCAGCGCCAACATCAGGGTAACACTGCCAGCCCCCCACCAAGGCTAACACCACATGAAAGAGTGCGCTGGGGTCCTGCCCCACACTCGGCTCCCTCTTCCCTGAGCACCCTCAGGCCAGGCTGCCTTTCCGGTCCTGTAGGAGTCCTTCCCTGGGACACCTGAAAGCCTGTGGCTACCTACTCCCTCCCCCACTCAGAGAACCCCTCGGCACTCACCACACGGTAGCCCTGGGCCCCTTGCCCAAAGATCCCTGGGGACAGCCCCACATTCTCATCCTCAGGCTAGGCGCTGCCCACAGAAGAATCAGCGGGACACAAACCATGCCCGCAGCACCAGAGGGACCCACGGCCGAACAGTGCCCTACTCCCGCAGCAGAGGGACCTGGGCACCACCACGGGGCCTTCCAGAGGGACCCACAGCTGAACAGTGCCCTACTCCCGCAGCAGAGGGACCTGGGCACCACCACGGGGCCTTCCGGAGGGACCCACGGCCGAACAGTGCCCTACTCCTGCAACAGAGGGACCTGGGCAGA